TCAAATACTGCTACACACATAGGAATGTGCTGTTTGTTCTCAATATTTAGAAAATTTCAGCTGCTCTTGACTCCCAACCATTTCTTATTTTCAACAATTTGATCAAAATAGACTTTACCTTCCAAGTTTAAGGTCTAATTAAAATACTGGGATTTTCATTTGCTCAAAATAGACTTTACCTTTCAAGTTTAAGGTCTAATTAAAATATTGGGGTTTTCATCAGCTTTATCCCAGACTAATTCTCTTAGTTTAGCAGTATTTGAGAAAAGAAAGTGATAAGGTAGAAAGCTGCTCTGAACTTGGCGAACAGGAAAGGAAGGGCTTCAGTCCTGAGTCCCTGGCATGGAGAGAGCTTCTGACAGATTCTCTCTAGGACTTGATACAGCAACATTTTCAAAGCAACCCTGTGAGGCAGGCATTCTTTACTTTTTGCTGATAAGGAACCCAAAATGAAGAGAAGTGACTCTTGCCTTTACTTCTTCACATCTCCTATTCACGATGCAAGGACTTTCTTTTCCCCTTAGAAATAAGAGTTATGCAATTTTGGAGTCGTTTAGATAGACACACTGAAGGGGTACTCCAGTTGCCTCACCCTGTGTCCCTGTTCAGCATGGAAGAAGCCAGAGTGGTCTGCATCCATATTTCCTATTGGCAATTTGGGTAACCTGTTCAGAGGGTGGTGTGATAAGAATAGGAGGTAAAAATTGCCTAGGCAGGTAGGATAAAAAGACCCCAAAGAAAAGTAGTCAGGTTTCTTGGCTAAAAGTCAAAAGGTCCTTGGGCCTCTTAGCAACATACTCTCTTCCAAAGGCCAAAAATGTCGAAAGTATTTGAGAGCTTGTATCTAATCTTTAAAAGATTTTAGGGTTACCTCTTCAGAGGGGAGAATGTTAGAGTAGCCAAAAGCCCCATATAAATAAATCAAGCTATCAATGAAGAAGGAAGAGTACATGAAGTTATCAGAAAAAGTGATGGGGAGATATGGGAGGAGTTGGAGGGGAAGGAGTGAGCATGGATTTGATCAAAACACCTTAAATGCATGTATTAAATTCTCAATAAATTATTTTAAAAAAAAGAATTCTATTGCATTCTTAACTTTGATTCAGCTTCCTCATTTGTGCTACATCCTTGCATTAGAAGGCCCAATTGAGGGTAAATATGATCACATGTGTAGTGTGTTGAGCTCTAATAAGTGAAAGCATTTGTTCAAAAAGTTTGTATGTTCCTATTAGGATGAGCACTAACTCATGTTTCCCTACAGGAGCAGCTGCACAGGAGACTCTGAAGGTGATTCAGCTTAAGAAGTCAGTGTCGGTTGCTGCTGGAGGGAAGGTCACTCTGAACTGCACTGCAACATCCCTGTACCCTGTGGGACCCATTGAGTGGTTCAAGGGTGTAGGACACAGCCGAGAGGCAGTATTCAGGTTCACAGGAGAGCACTTCCCCAGAGTCACAAATGTTTCAGATGTTTCAAAAAGAAACAACCTGGACTTTAGCATCCGCATCAGTAACATCACCCTAGCAGATGCTGGTACCTACTACTGTGCGAAGTTTCAGAAAATAGGCTCTGACAACAAGGAGATTCAATCTGGAGGAGGTACCGAGTTGTCTGTGTGTGGTGAGTGTTGTTCTCTTTCATCTCCTTATGGGCAGCAACAGCTCAAAGATAAGCCAGCCATTTTGTGAGTGGCAGTTGAGGGGCAGATGCTATAGTAGTGCTTTTGTTTTTGATGTAACCTCAGCTATAGACCAGGAAACCTGAAGAGTGTGGAGGACATGCACTCTGCTCAAAGTTCCAATCTGGTTAATGGGGCAGCCACTTTGTCTGCCTGTCCTACAGCCCTCATCTTTACCAATCAGTCCTAGCCCTCTAACTATACAAATGGGTACAGTGACAAGGTGAGGCCTGGGCTGCTGCTTTTCCGTGGCTGAAGTTCTGCTTATTCCCCAAGCGGAAGGGCCTACTCTGTACCAGGCTCTGTTCTGGATCCCATGAAAATGGCAGGAAGCCTAGTAAGGAGCTCTTCTTCCAGAATGTTGTTTTCTCCCACCCATAAGGACCAGCATGTGAGAGCAGAGAGGGGGCAGGCACTTGTCCTTCACATTTCCTCTTCATCCACAACACACTGAGGTTGCTGACATGCCCAGATTCCCTATTCAACCTCTCAGGCTTGGTGGAGGAGCTGTCAAGAAATAGGGCCTTTGCCCTGGGTCTGTCTGGAAGATTTGTTTATCAGGGACCAACTCTCACAGGCTCAGAAGACTGTGAGTAGAGTTGTGCCAGGTGTGTGGGTGATGCTCGGGTGATGTAGCAAGATGTTCACTTTGAATTTCCTGACAGAGGCCCTGGTTCCACTGGTTACCTGGTTCCACAATCTACAACTTGATTCTGGGATTGTCATTACATGAAGGAAGTCAGACTATCTACCTCAACCCTGTGTGAGCCTTGTTTATATGGTCAGGTCCCCATCCACAGACATAACCAGTTAGTGCCCCAAATCCAGGTCAGTCTCTTGTTATCTGAGAAAGAGATATTATCTCCACTAAAAAGCCAGGTACCCAAGGGATGCTGAACCAAAGCTCCTCAAACCTAGTCATTATCCAGGAAGTCAGTGTTTCCACTTGTCATCAGTTACCCAGGGGTTTGGGAAACCCCTCAAATTCATCCTACTAGTGATTGGGAAACTGCAAATGTCAGTCACACCCTCATTCCATGATAGAACAGAGAGCTATTCTCTTATGCAAACAGCAGCGGCATACTCCAGCAGGTAGAGATACAGGGGCCAACAGCAGGGCCACACCTGAGAAGACAGTGAGCTTCACTTGCAAGTCTCATGGCTTCTTTCCATGGAACATCACCCTGAAGTGGTTTAGAGATAGGAGTGAGCTCTCTCGCTTCCATACCACTGTGGAGCCTTCAAGAGGAATCATCTCATATAGTGTCTCCAGCATGATCCAGGTGGTGCTGGGTCCTGGGGATGTCCAGTCTCGGCTCATTTGTGAGGTGGCCCATGTCACCTTGCAAACAGGCCCTCTTCGTGGGACTGCCAACTTCTCTGACACAATCTGAGGTAGATGATCCTGACTTTCAGCCCACTCTGCTCTTCCCCAAGGTTTGGAATTCATGTGGTCATAAAGAGGATGTGATGCTTACCATAGTTCCCAGCCAGCATTAAAATCTATAATGAAGAAAGGATCATATGCTGTGATCAGCTCTGTCAGAAAAGTGGCATTTATTTTACCAGTAGAAACCACAGTTACATTGATTATGAGCCTGCCCCCTCATGCCTAGTATTCCCAGTTTTCCTATAGTTATTTTCTCCTGCTTCAGTCAGAAGATAATACTTGCAGAATTCACTCATTATGACCCTCAAATCATCTGTCACTGAGCATCTCCTGTGTGCTGAGAGCTATGCTTAGCAGCTGCGCTCCTGTACAAGCCCTAAGTCCTCCCCAGAGAGGCACAATGAAGTGGGCATGGGTCCTCAGTACCCTTGTCCCTCCTCTGGGTTTTGTGTGTACCTCAAGGTCACAGATTCTGTTTGTGCTGTTTCAGTTCTGCCAACCTTGAAAGTCAGTCAACAGCCAACACTGGTATGGAGTCTGATAAATATCACCTGCCAGGTGAAGAGGTACTACCCACCGAGCCTCCAGGTGATCTGGTTGGAGAATCAAAATATGTCCCGAACAGAAGAGGCTTCCACCCTCACAGTGACAAGGATGGCACCTACAACCGGATCAGCTGGCTTTTGGTGAATGCATCTGCCCATAAGGAGGATGTAATGCTCACCTGCCGGGTGGAACATGATGAACAACCAGCAGTCACTAGAAACCATACCCTGGTGGTCAGGGCATACCAGGAGAAGAAGGGTATGGACACTACCCCTGGTAAGAACTCGACTGCAGTTGCTTAGCTGTCTGTAAATTTCTGTCTGTCTTAAATGCCAAAAATGAGGCTGGAGAGATGGCTCAGCAGTTAAGAACACTGGCTGCTCTTGCAGAGGACCCAGTTCTACATATTCCATTCCTGTCAGGTTTTTTTTTTTTCAATTTTTTATATTTTTTGATTGAGCGGTCCAATTCTTCAACTTTATCTTCCAGTCCAGATACTGTGTTTTCCACTTTATTCATTCTGCTGGTGAAGCTTTCTCCTGCCATTTCAAATTGGCTCATCAAGTTTTTCAATTCCGTCTTTATTTCAGCTTGAGGTTTCCTCAATATTTCTCTTTCAAATCCTGAATTGTCTTTTTTATTTCATTCAGCCACATATTTGCATTTTTGAGCTGCAGTCAGGAGTTTCTGTCTACCTTCTTTGAGTTTTTTGAGTTGTTTGTGTGTTCTTTAAAATTTTTGAACTATTTAATCATGTTTATAATTGTTCTTTTAAGTTCTGTGTCCTGGATGCCCCTACATAGTTCTCATTGCAGAATACTTCTTTAGTCCTATGGAAGCATAGGTAGGATTTGATGGGAGCCTATTATCTTGGTTTTACATATTATTTGTGTTTGGGGGTCGTGACATGGGCATATGGACTTCTTTTGTTGGCTGTGTGTCATATGACATTCTGGCCTGCCTTTGTTGAGCTGCAGTCTGGTTCTGTTTCTGTTGTTGTAGCTTGGTTGTTTTCTGATCAGATATAAATAGTTAGTTAGTCTGTGCTCAAGATTCTCACTCTGGGTTTTGTCATTGTTTTGTTGGTCTTTTTGAGACAGGGTCCCCCTGTAGCCCCAGCTGGCCTGGAACTCACTATGTAGACAGGTCATCCTCAGTCTCACAGAGATCCACCTGCCTCTGCCTCCCAAGTACTAGGATTAAAGGCGTGTGCCACCACTCCCAGCTTACTTTGCTTTTTATTGAAGGAATGGGATGGGTCTAGGATGGTTTGCTGTGTGCAATGTGTTAAATGTGGAAATGCCAGCCATGTGGACTGGTTCTGGCTAGCTCACCAGACTAGTCCAGATCTGGATCAGAGCTTTCCAGGCCTAGTTCCAGAGCCAGAGCATAGTATTCAAGCCGACAAGTATCTGACTAGCTACACAGGGTGTGTCAGAGCCCAGAAGCAGCTGGTTCTTGGCCTAATCCCAAATGGGGAAGATGGTGAAAAAGTAAGTGGATCCTGGCCTAGTCCTGGAGCAGAGAGATGGGGACTGAGTGGGCAGGTTCCGACTACCTTACCAGACTCCTCGGGAGCTCTCTAGCAGCATGTCTTGGCCTATTCCAAGAGCAGGATTGTGGACACTGGGAGGGCGGGTTCTGACTAGCTAAGCAGGGTGAATGGGAGCTCTGGAGCAGTGGGATCCTGGCCTAGTCCTGGAACAGAGAGATGGGGACTGAGTGGGCAGGTTCTGACTAACTTACCAGACTCCTCGGGAGCTCTGTAGCAGCATGTCTTGGCCTATTCCAAGAGCAGGATTGTGGACACTGGGAGGGCGGGTTCTGACTAGCTTAGCAGGATAAATGGGAGCCCTGGAGCAGCAGGATCCTGGCCTAGTCCAGGGCGGGGGCATGGTGACCAAGGAAAGGGTTTATTTCATTTTACACTTTCAGATGACACTTCATCACTAAGGGAAGTCAGAGCAGGAGCCAAGGCAAGAACCTGGAGGCTAGAAATGAAGACACCATGGAGGAACACTGTTTACTTACTGACTTGCTCCCCCGGCTTAGATACCTACCTTTCATATACAGTCCAGGTGGAGGGATGGCCGTCATCCACAGTGGGCTGGACCCTCCCACATCAAGGAGCAATTAAGAAAATGCCTCACAGACGTAGCCACAGGCCATTCTGATTTGAGAAAGTCTTCAGCTGAGGTTCCCTCTTCCTAGGTGACTCATTTATGTTACCTTGATGAAAACTAACCAGCACACCATTGAATTACCTTTTTCTAAATTTTATTTATTATTTTTATTTTATGTATATGTGTGTATTGCCTGCATGTAAGTAAGTGTACCCATGTCCTGCAATGCCTGCAGAGGTCAGAAGAGGCTGTTGGATCCCCTGGGACTGGAGTTATTGACAGTTGTTAGCTGCTGTGTGTGTGCTGGGATTCAAACCCAGGTCTTCAGCAAAACAGCCAGTGTTCTTAACCACTGAGCCATCTCTGCAGCCCCTGAATTACCTTTTTTTATTGGATAACCTGATACCTCCAGTTTAACAGTGACACCTCCATCATAAAACAGGTACTAATTTGGGGCCAGTGACCATCAGTACTGAGATCTTAATTGCCAGTCAGCTCAGTATAATATACTAAATTCTACCTGCCTGCACCTCCAAGTGTTAGAATTACATGTATAGGCTACCAAACCAGTTTTACATGGTTCTGGCACTCAAGCACATGCCTTCCCTTCATGCATTCTATGAAAATACTCTACCAAGTGAGCTATATTCCTAGCCCCTGTTTCTATTCTTAAAAACAAAATTTAATCTTTCTTTAAATTCAAAAGTAATAATGGCTCCTTGTAAAACTATAAAGGCCAAGTGTTCCTTCCCCGAATGTGACTGTTAACAACAGAAAGCTTATAGATGGCATCAGAATGGAAAGGAGGCAAACAAGATGATGTTTGAGGCTCTCCAAATTATGAGACCTAGCTCTTGATTCACCTGAAGGGTTTCCAGTGAGCAGTTTTATCCAGTCATCTGCTACCTCACAAGGTTCTCTCAGTTCCTGAAAGCTGGGGGTTATCCGGAGTGCCTCTTATCTCAGTAGGGTAGCCTTGTGACTATCTCCCTATGAACCATCCTGACATCCTGCATGTCCTGTTAACAAGTATTCCTGTGTCCCTGAGATGCTGGACTTGTCTTGGTCCAATGGATACAGGATCAGAAACCATCCTAAAGGCCATCAGTGAGGAACTTCTATGGATCCCACTAACCTTGCAACTCTCCTTAAAGTCTCTAGGGCTCAGTTTCCATGCCAGTGCGGGAACAATAATCTCTAACCCATAGGATGGTGAGGATTACACAGGAAACTAGGTGCCACATACCACTGAGCACAAGCTCTCACCTATTCCTTCTAGGAGGACAACCTGATAACCTGAGTCAGGGCTGAGAGGGAAGAAGAAATTCTTTGCTATCTTCTTTAAACAAGGGCAGCCAAGTTAAAATCATCAGCACTTTAATGGGCTCAGTGAGGATAAGATGGGGCAAGTATAGGCATCTAAGAATAGGGTGGATATAGCCCCTCTAATGGCTCCTCCTGCCTTTTGGTTTTCACAGGATTGGAAGCTTTACCTACTGCTGTCCTTGTGCCTCTGCTCCTTGGCCACAAGATGCTACTGGTGGTTGGTGTGTCTGCTGTCTACATCAACAGGAAGAAGAAGACCTGACTGTATGTTGTAAGAGACGCAGGGATAGCAGTACGAGGACTGACATAGAAGGTGAAGAGGCAGTAGAGGGACTAGGTCACCTGTTATACATCATTAGGATCTGAGGGGTCTAGAGGTGATAACATATTGTTCAGGATCTCTTGGAACCCTTAGGGAGGTCCCCAGCTCCCAGGAGTTGTGTGTGTGTGCGTGTGTGTGTCCTGGGAGAATGTTTGATTCAAGGATCACCAATGGTGCCCAGAGACTCCTAGAGAAGGTGGAAGAAATGGGCCAAGAGGTATTATTAGTATTAATATGGATGCTCTCCTTGGAGGCCATCTCTAGGTTAGTCAGAAACTACAGGCCCAAAAGGAAAGAGCAATCTAAGTTATGAAACAATTTTTAGACGTTTCACACAGACAGTTCTCAGGGATGTTTCTGCTTTGACCCTCTCTATGGCCATGAAGAAGGGAAAGGGAAAGATAGTCATGACTATGGGAGAGGGCTGTGATGACACTTCTGTGACACAGGCACCCTATGCATTCAGGACATACGTACCTGGAGGAGGAGTAGCACTCAGGAGATATTTCACAAATGGAACTAGGAGTCTTAGATGGGACGTGATTCTCACATCACCACTCTTCCTTCCCTGCCACAGAGGACCCTGAATCTGCCTTGTTTAGAAGGTGTCAGCCTGGAAGAAGATGATGAGAAGTTCTGGAACACTCTACTCCTAATGCCTTCCCTCCCAGGGTACCTGAAGACTCAACAATTCCCTGTTGCTCCTTTGAATAGATGTTGATACTTGAGAGCTGTTTCTGCATCCACGGTCTTGAGCATGGGCCTGGGAAATGGCTCAGTCTGCTGCCTAAAGTGTGAGAACCAGCCCATTCTGAGCACATCAAGGTGTCTCCCATTACCATTGGGTTCGCCTTCACCAAACACCCTAATCCAAGCTCTCTGGAGCTAATCTCTCCTGGAATCCACTGGACCCCAACTCTCAAGCATCTTCATATTCTACGATGAGCCACCTCCTGATATTAGGTATAATTATTCCTCTGTATCCAAATGTCCTATTCCTCTGTATCCAAGTGTCCTATTCCTCTGTATACAAGTGTCCTAATTCCCCAGATCCCCTTCATCTAAAACTATCCTTTCCTCTCTCTGATGGGAACCCAATTTCTTTGTTAGCTCTATTATTCCCAGCCCCTTGCTAAGGGTAAAGATGCTGTGAAGGTGCAGAGAGTTGACATCATTCCTGCCTACTCTTCCTTCTCTCACCCAAGCTTATATCCACTTTTGAGATGGTAACTCTTCAAAACTTGACTCTGAAAAGAAAACAGAGATCTGATTTATAGTTCTTATATTTTCTAATATGTAAATACTCTCATCATGGTCAATTTCATGCAACCAACAGTTTCAACCTCAGGTAACAGAGCTCTGATGATTTATCACAAGCCATTCCAACCTGCTCCCACATACCATAGCATTATGTCTATAATCTGCCCATGGCTCATCTCCCCTGCACCCAAGTCCCAGCCATACTGTCACCCATTGACAGTTGCTACAGCCTCTACTATCTCCCATTTCAGTTGCCAGAATGCTTTAGGAAAGTGAGTTAAATATCACTCCTCTGCTGCTTCTCAAATACCTGCATGGGTCACTCTATCCTGCCCAAGGTCGCTTTGTCAAAGCCCTTTTCCTTAGCTGGGCAACAAGGAGACAATACAGCCACCTATTTGCTGCATGTGGAAACTGAAAAAACACTTAGTTATTTTCCTGCTGCTATGATAAAAATACTCTGACAAAAGAAATTTAGGGAAAGATGGTTTATTTGGGCCATGAAGTGAGTCCAACAGCTGATCACATTGCATCTGCAATCAGAAAGATGAGTGCTCAGCTAGCCTTTTCCTCATGCAACCCAGGACCCAAGCCCAGGAATGGTACTGCCCAATTGGTGGGTACTTCCATGTCAATTAACTTAACCAGAATGGTCTCTCTTAGGCATAGTCAGTGGTTAACCTAACCTAAACCATACTTAATAGGGGCACCAAGAATCTTGTTTCTAGGTGGTTCTAGATCCTGTCAAGCTGATAATATTAAGCATCACAGATACCCACACAGTGACCAACAGATGCTTAACACTAATGATGCTGAATACTTAAAACTGACATGTTTGTGTACAATGAGTCAGCCCTGAATCTTGTGCTTTAAGTTCTCCTTATACAGACACTCTGCTCAATGAAATGAATGGCACTGAGAGACACATTTTTTTAAACTGGGGTAACTAAAATTTGTGCATATTAACACCAAAGTTGAAAACACATGTATTTGTCTATATTCTTTAATTATAATGTCTAACAGACAAAACACTATCTATAGCCTCAGTTGCCAGAACACAGTCATATAATAGACATCAAATGATTTTTTAAATAGATGAATGAATGTGTCATTGATGATACTATTTTTTTCTTACATTTTGGTTTGTAATACAGAACTTTTCTTCACTTAAAGAGCTCATAAAAATTCTACATTCTCCAGAAAACAAGTCAGTTGGCTTCCATCCACTAGGACAAAATACTTGACATAATGAACTTATAAAGAAAGTTTAATTTTGGCCCTGGGTTTGCAGGTTTTAGTTCATGATCAAATGGCCTTGCTGTCTGTGAACCCACAGTGAAGCAGCACCTCACAAGAGATCTTACAGCTGAAGCAGTTGCTCACCTTATGGCCGCAAGGAACAAAGAGAGCAGGATACCGGGAACTACGATCACCTTCCAGGGCATGTTGATAATGATTCAAACCTAGTAGATGCTGCTTCTTAAATGTTTCACCACAACCACCTCAGAGCATGATAAAGTAAGGTCCAGGTCTTTAACACATGGGTCTTTAGGGGACATTTAAGTTCCAAATTACAGCACCAAGGAAATGCTTTCAAAGAAAGAAAATTTCATTGATTGAAGTTGGTCAAAGGCAATAAAAACTAACTGAAAGAGCTCCCAGTAGCCAAACTGAAGAATATCAACAACAAAAATTACTAAAGCATGGACTGGAGAGAGGCACAGCAGTTAAGAGTACTGATTGCTCTTGCAGAGGACCCAGATTCCATTGCCAGCATTCACATGAGGACTAACAACCATCCATAACTCCAGTTCCAGGGGATCTGATGCCCTCTTCTCACCTCTGTGTGCATTGCACAACACAGGTGCACTTATAAACATGCGGGCAATACATGCATATATATAAAAATAAAAATAGTAAAATATTTTTAAAAAAATAATGAAAGCAACAAACCCAAAATATAAAACTAACATCTATGAGTTCATGCTTATATAAACAACTGGTTAAGTAAATTAATAAATGATGAATAGCAAATCTATTTGCAGAAGAGGCCCAGATAATTATTGCATATATTCCTTCCTGATGGAGGAAGAACACAACTCTACATTCCTCAAGTGTGGGCCCCTCCTTTGAAGGGGGCAACTGGAAAGAAAGAAAGCCCTTTATAGGTGTTATGTAACTTAATAATGGAGAAACCCTACAAATTCATTTAGGTGATCAAGATTTCATTCACAGTCACCAGTCATGGAAGGCACACATCATTTCAAGCATATGCACCTTTAAGGCAATGCCAGAAAACTGTTCCTGCTCTCCAAACTTCTCCACACAACCCCATAACTCCAGCCTAGTCATGAGACAAACATCAGATTCCAATAGGAGCATCCTGCCCTCTGCCTGCCCAGGACCCCTGCAGACTGTGAGAAGCCTAAGAAGATGCATCAAGTAAATGTAGCAAGGTATCCTGGGTTTGAATCTAAAAGTAGAACAGAGACTTTAAGAGTTAGGCAGAGACAGGAAGTCTACATAAAGGATGAAATTTGATAAATTATTGTGCATCACTAATTATAACAAAAGCATCAAACTAATGTAAGACATTCACACACACACACACACACACACACACACACACACACACGAACTACATTGAAAAGAGCCAGAAGCATCTTGGAGTTCTACAAGCTTCCTTTGAACAGCTCCCTTCCAGCCTCAGGTGCTGGACAAGGATATCTAGCAGACCTGTCTTTCTTAGGCTGCTTGGTTTTTTTTTTTGGTAAATTGAAACTTTCCCTCTTCTCATTCTCTTCACCTATTGAGCAAATCCCTCTGGTGAAGAAGGCAAGGAAACATATGGACAAGAAAACTTGCTACTGTTTCCAGGTTGCATCTCATTTCACAAGCCCAGACTTCCTTCTTTTCCTAGCGCTGTCTCCTGGCATTGAGTAGCCATAGTCCTAGGGACTCGTGAGTCACAGAAGACACTGCTTCATAGTCCCCAATGAGGTTCATCCTAAACTTCTCTAATTTATAAAATCTGAGGAGACCAAGTTGGGCCAGAGTCCAGGTTGATTCCTGAGTAAGATGACTAATCTTTAGGTCGTAATTGTGGATTAGTGCTCCTGTGTTCTGAGCCCGTTGATTCACTGTCAGAAGACATGTCAGAGAAAGGTATAGGGGCTGCTATGGGACCCTAGGCTGAAGAAGATGGTCCTCAGCTGCCAGTGCTGTCCAACTCTATCACCATGAGGGCAAGGTAGTGAAGAAGGCCTTTCTCTCTCCAGTAGACCAGGAGCTCTGCAAAAACAGCTGTTGGGCTCCTGAACAAGTAAGACTGTAGCCCAGCAGCTCCAGGATTCCAAAGGCTCCTGGCCTAGGCTAAGTCCCTGGGGCTCCTGGATAAACAAGGGTCATGAAGTATGGAGAACCTCTGAGGTGGGTTGAGCCACAGAAAGAGGCAAGAATTTGCAAGAAAGATGATGACTCCCAGCTCCAGCAAACCTGGCCTTTTCCAGCTAAAATTTCTCATCTTACAGCATCATCTTTGTCCCACTATATAATCAGGAAGGAAAAAGTGTTCAGTCCCATAGCCTTTCCTCACATCACAACCCCTTCCTTTGACATCATGATGTAGGAACTGTTGTGTGCCCTTCTCTAACAGCCCAGGGCCTCTCTAGGACAGACAC